CTTCCTAGTTCCCTGAACTCATTCTTTAGGACCTTCCATTTTCCTCTGACTTTGTCATTGGTACCAATATGGACCATGACAGCTGGGTCATCTCCAGCCCCTTCCAATAATCCCTCCACTCTGTCGGCAACATGCCGGACCCGAGCACCTGGGAGACAGCAAACTGTCCGGTTGAGTCGATCAGAGTGGCAGATTACCCTATCTACTCTCTTAATAATACAGTCCCCTACCACCACAACCTGTCTAGACTTCCTTACCCTCTCAACCCCACCAGTACTAGAGGGGCTGTTTCCACGGCTGTTAGCAGGAACAGCTTCCTGCAGTACAGCTACTCCTGAGCTGATGCTCCCAACATCTTCACTCAAACGGGCAAATCAGATTAATAAAACATTGAATTAAGGCTGTAATGTAACAAAATAGGTAAAAAGTCAAGGGGGTGAATACTTTTGCAACGCACTGTAGGTAGAGTAGAAGGGAATGTCGACCAGGTGTCCCATCTGGCTGATTTAGAGTTGGGAAGTGAAAGGATGTAGTGATCTATAGATTTATGGATATTTAAAGTTTAAAGGTAATCTGTGGAAGTAGATTAATAGAGGTGAACTCTCTTGGTCCCAGGAATCTGTAAAATGCAAGATATATGGCGGTTTTAATTACAATATTATAGTGATAGGTTTGAGAGGTGACGTGACTTATAAATCAGATAGTGATTGGAAAAGTTTGCTATGGTAATGTTGTGTCAGATGTTTGGATTCCTTTCAGTAAGGTTTAATTTAGTGGGATGATAGGACTATTTTGTTAAGGTGTTGTATAAGCCTGTGATGTAAAATGCCCAGGTAGAGTTGGGTAGTGTTAAATGATAATTTTTTAACTAAGGTGGTAAAAGAAAGTAAACTCCAATAAATACTCCGTAGCAAACATGTCATGAATTTGAAAATTGGCTATAAATTTGATGAAAATCCCTATCGATTGATTTCCTAGTGATAACTGCGAGTGCTAGGTGGGTAAGACTCTGTGCGTGTGATAATAAAACATTTAACCCATTAATATGTCTCAGAATGGAGGGGCAGTAGTAGCTAGATGGGAAGTGGTGGGCAGATTATTGCAGAATACCCGCAAGTGGAGATGAGACAGGTCATCAGCCGATACTTTAATGACCCCCAGGATGTGAATATAAGTGAGGAAAATTGATAATTGGCTGCCACCCAAGGGAGTCTTCTCAAAACCTCACAATGACCAAAATAATGCTGGTCTTTGTTTACCATGTGGCAGGCAGCTAGGTTGTCTGAGAAGCATCTGACCGAGTGAGCCAGGACCCCAGGCAATGGCTGCCACCATTATTAGGTATAGCTCGAATAAGGATGATGTTTTGGAAAACTTTTTAGTAACTTCATTAGAGCACTTGATTGCCACAGATGGCTGAGAAATTCGAATTGGCTGCAGCATCTGTCCAGAGTGTCAAGGACTTTTGGGGAAGAGATTGGGGAATAAACATTGCATTCCCCTATCATGTTGTAAGAAATGTGCGTCACATCCGTAAGTCAGCAGTCGCTTGTGGGTCTAATGTGATGCGGTTATTGTCTGAAGAAAAGTCAGGGAACAAACAAAGTAGTCAAGAAATAAAGGATCTACCTTATGGGATGATCCTCATGGCAAAATTAAGTGAACCAAGCATAGACTATAGGTCTTTACGGGTGCAAAAACCTTATTGCAAGTATAGGCCAATGCTTGAGAGGTTGTGCTCAATCTTACCACAAAAAAGACAGGACTGCATGTTGACGAGTCTAGTTGAATGCCCAGAAAATGTATTACAGTGTCTGGACCTTCGGTCTTTTTAAGGGGAGACCGGTATACCCAGGGAGTCAAAAAGACGGTTGCTGCTGTGAGACTGCGAGGGGGTTGGAAATTGTCTTCAATTGTGTGGAAATTATCTAAATAGTGTATAACAGTCAGGAATCTGCACACATCAAGTAGCAACCAGCACAAAGTTTCAGCAAAATATGCCGGGAGAAAATAATATAAACCCTGCCACTTAATGCCGTGCAGATGCCAAAGTGAGGGATGAATAGATAGTTTGACCGCATATGACAATAGCAAATTTATTGAGCCATACACCTGCCCAAGCTGCAACAAATGACACACATGGCATTCTCAATGATGGAACATTGCAAGGAGAAACCTTCAGAGGGTATGAGGGAGTTAAGACTAGGAACCGTGGAGGAATGTGGTGCTGATGGGTCAATGATCAATCTGTGTTTATGTGAAGATTTACCAGTGACTTTACCAATAGAATTTGTCCCCCAAGAAGTTAAAGGAGGGGACCTAAAAGGCCTGAAAACAAATCCCTGTTTTAACTCAGTCTTTATCAATTTATCCACCGACTCTGGACTCGCAAGCGCTGCCTGCAAATTATTGCATTCCAGCGTATCAGATTGCAAGTGTATGATACCATTGTGAATAACCAATCAAAGAGAAAGTTAACCAATTGTTGTGAAGGTTGGTACCATAATTAGTTCAGCAAAATACATTAGATTAATACCTTGAAGGTAGGTTTTAAGGAACATTTTATTTGGGCACTTAGACTTGTCAAGAGTCGTGAAGTAGTAGGAACAAACGTGCAATAACCTGCAAGCACAGAAACCACAAGTACCTGCCTTGAAATTATTGCATATTTTGGACATGCCCAAACACCAATGTCCCTACCCAGCTTATCCTTAACTACCTTATCAGATTTTTCAGGTGTGTAAGGAACCAAGTGGCCCAAAGAGACTTCTGCCATGTTAGGGCACAAATTCGTTGAGTGCGACGTGGACGTGCAAACTGCACAAGCCGGAGTCCTGAGGCCTGCAAAGTGTTTGCAGAATAAGTCAATATTTAGTCTACTCCAATCCATACTGAAGTTAAACCGAGAGCTGCCACCACTTTTGCTGAAAATGAACAGTGGTAATCATAGAAGTCCGTACCACCTTACCTGTGCCCCAGATCCACCAACTTGTGAATATACACATTCAGTACCTCTTGTTTCTCCAGGTGGATAAAGCAATACCCATCCACATATTTGGAAACCTGAGACATACTAAAATATAAAATTACCATTAGTCAAAAAATTCCACTAAAAGAGTGACAGGCAAGGCCCTGCTTGTTACCAAGTGGCTTGAGAGGCTCTAACTATGCATTGGCCTGAGGGGATTTTGAGGCCACCGAACAGCGGGGTGTCGGCCTCTCTGTGACAATTAAAGCAGAAGGTAGTATGGAAGTGACAGGTGAGGCCCTCTCTATGCAACCATGTGAGGCAAATAACTATGTGTTAGACCAAGGACGTATACCTCCGAGTATGAGGATTTGTGTTGGCCTCACAGGACCACCATCCTATGGCATAGAGGCAGGAAAACAAACTATTTCAACATCTAGATCCCTGAAAGCCAGTACTCTCTGCTAATAAGGACTATGAACTTAGTAATTGTTAATGTCCTACTTGGGACAGTGAGAATCTGAAATGGTGATTCTCTACAGGAGTAGAGTAAGGAGGGTGAGGGTTGTAACGTACGGCAACCTAAAGATGAAGACATAAAATAGTATCTGAGGATGTGGTAAAACATGTGGGCCAAATTGTGGCCCTAAGTAATATAGAATAACCTACCCAAATTGATAGACACAAGGTGCAAATTTGGCAAATGCTGCCACGAATTGTAGATTATGCTAGCTTTAGTTTACCTATAGTTTTATTAATGACAGGAGGCGAGTATTTGCTTAAGTCTCTCTTTACTAGAACTCCACAGCAGCACAGAAAAACAACCAATCTGAAAAAGTTAGGTACAATAAAACTCCCCTCCCCATACATCATTTCCCCTTTCAAGCTGTGACAAAAACAGAATAAAAGGCAGAAAACATAATGGGGAAGAAACAAAGTCCTAGATACGATGAATACAACAATGTCCACCATCCAAGAAGAACTGCCAAACCAGATATCGTTGATGGACTGTGTAGAATATTGCATATTCTATGTTTCTATTGATTATATATATGGATGTGTGGATTGACATAAGTAACAGATGGTATCAATAAGTCACAAGGCTTTCTTTGTCCGAGAGCTCTGGAATGTGGATGTGGGGGTTTTGTCCTTATATGGCTAGAGTTATATGCTGACGTTACTATTAGCACTTCTATATAGTAACAGAGGGACACGAGGTCGCGCTCAGTCTAGTCTTGTCTTGGCTTGGCTCTGTACAACGATGTAACTCTCCCATCAGAAGTCCAGCAATTACCATCTGCTGTTGAATGTCTATAATCCTGTAACATCATTTATTATGCTTTATTATGTATCCGTAACAAAGAATAAACCGGAAGAAACCGTAAGTCAGATTGCGTATTACTACTTTTCAATAATATAGACATATATTATTGTGGCGAGCATTTGGCCCAAGATTATATATACAAAAGACGTATATATATCAATCAACTGAAGATAAGAAGAAATTAAGAATCATCAACATTGAACATCCATTCATCTAGTTTTTTACATTGGCTAGCCAGCCAGTCTTCTATTCAAAGTTTTGTTCCCACTTCAAGGGGGGAGAGAGAAGAATCGAGTTACAAAGCTGTTTTGGAACTGGGAAAACAAACTTGAAGAGAAAAAAAGAATCTAGACTGACTGTCATAGAAGAACTGTGGTTTGTATGAAAAAGATTTTCAAATCATAAAGACTGTACAAGACTATTTTCTACAACGGAGACAAAAAGCACAAGATACAACGTGAATTCTAGAAGCAAGCACGTGGCAGACATTGGCAAGCGTCCAAGCAAAGAACTGCGCAGCTGTGTGGATGAAGCAACGAAATAGACAGAAATAACTGATCTGGTGAGTAACATGGAATTCATAAATGATATTGCAGAGAAAAGTAAATTGCAGTTTGCATGTAATAGCAGCTATTCAGATGCTGTATTGTGGCAATCTTTATACACACAATGTGAAATTGCCAATAGTGAAATTGACAAGAAATTGTTTGTTAATAAGAAAAAACAAAGATCAGAAATGTTATGAAACTAGTCTGTACTTACAATGCATTGATTTGTAAACGAGATGCAGGTCAAGAAAATTTTGAATCATCAGAAAAAGAAGTAGATTTGAATGGGTTAACAGAAGACAAATCAGATTTAAATGAACAGTGTAACAAAGTAACAGAGAGAACATTGTCAGAAAAAGTCTGTGAATTAGAGGATAGAGTTGAACAAAGAAATGATTTGAGTTGCCAGCTTAGAAAAGAAGTTAAACTAGTGTGTGTTAATACAAGAAACATACAGGCACAGAATCTAATCCCAGAACCAATAGATACTGAAAATGTATCCTCACAGAGTGATTTGCAGAAATGTAAATTTCAAGATAGAGCTGCAAAACTTAATTTGAAAATCCATGAACAATTAATGAAAATTGTGAAATGTATTCCAGTTTATGACACGTCAGTGGATGCATTTACTAATGCTGAAATGTTTGAGTCTAATTTAGACAAATACAGCCTAAATGACGAACAAAGGAATAGACTATTTCAAATATGGCTGCCGACTCAAATGGCATGTAGACTGACCGCGCCTGTAAAATTCGAGGACAATGATGAAATAATATATTGAAATAAGCAATACAGATTAACACAATTAATAAAATTAACAACAGGGAATGATTTTGCAGACACTGAAATGTTGGAAAAACTAAAACCACACAAGGGGGAGGATATATTTAGTTTTCTTGCAAAATTTGAAAGTGCATATAGACTTGTTGCTGATTTTTCTGAAGATCAGTTAATTAATGAATTTGTGAAAAAATTTCAAGATCTAGATCCAACTGCAATTGTGTTAGCTAGAGAAAAAAGCACTTTGACAGAAGTAGCTTTGTTCTTGGATAACTTAAGGAGGGAAACCAATAATGAAGGGGTTAAAATTACTTGTGGAATTAGGCAGAGAAAGAAGTGCAGATGTTACAGCCCTCGTCCCCCTCCTTCTTCTTCTTCTAGGACAGAGTATAGAGTGATACAGACAGCTGAGCCCCTCCCAATGTGTTCAACTAAAAACTGTAGAGTTAATCAAGGACAGAATATAACTCCTAAAGTTATTTGTTTTTGGTGCAATAAACAACATTATTTAAGATCTTGCAGATATTTTATCCGAGATATCAAATCAAAAGCAAATGAGAAATTAAATTTGTTTATTGAAAATTTTGACAGAGAAAATACACGTGGAGATAAATCAATAAAGGCCTTTCCTTGTAAACTTATAATCAGACAAATAAAAGCAATTTTAGCTAAATCGAAATTAAGAGACAGACAAGCAATGCAGTGTAACACAGAAAGTTATAAGAATCAGATAACTTCAAGAGATATGATCAGTTTAGGGAATGAGCATGGATATGTCTGCCAACAGATGTGCACAGGCTGATTCCAGAATTAAGAACAGCACAAGAATAGAGATCTATGTTAGTTTGTTGTTTTAAATGAATTGTTAGTCTGTACTGTTTTTCATTGTTTTATGTGTGTTATAAAAAAGTATTAGGTTAATTAATTAAAATAAAAAATTACATCAAGTTTGCAAATATGACAGAATGAAATACACTAATGTAGCAGTTAGGAACATGCAATGTTATATTGGGTGTATGCAATTATACGGTAACTCCAATCATTTTACAGAAGAAAAAACAATGGATATATTCCTTGTTGCTTCTGAGGTTGATTTAAAATCTTTGATTTAATTAATGAGAATGAGATTTTAATGTCATGACTGATAATGGATTACTATATTTTGCAAAGCCTGGACATATATATGTTTTGACTATTTAGAAGACAAAAGTTTTGATAGAATAAAACCTAGATTTACAAATACATTTGATGAAGGAAACAATATATGTTTTTGTAGTTTGTTTCATGTGACAAAATGGTGCCAGTGTTAAGACAAAATGGCTGCTATTGCTAAAGTATAGTGGAAAACAATATTTAGTTGTAACATCTGATATGTGATTAGGTTATACCTCCAGATTATTAAACAGTTTAAAAGGGGGGTATGAGTAATAAAAAGTTTGAGAATTGGGAATTTACATGTTCAGAAAGATTTTAATATAAAAGGAAATTTAAAGATTATACATCACATGGCATAAATGTAATGACCACTAGATGGTAGATCTCATGAGAAGAAATGAGAATGTTGTGTAGTCCATGTAATTCAATGTTAAACTGTGTAATAATAATGAGATATAAACTTTGTAAGCCATTGTATTGATGCTGCACATGGTTTTTGTTTTAATGTAGGTAAAGCGTGACAGATCCTTGTGGCAATAAATCAGGAAAGCATTCCTTCAGACAACTGGACATCGACTGTAGGAAAGAGACTTTTCATCTGATCTGCAAACTGTGATGGAAGATTCTACAGAGTTCATTCGATACAGAAGATTAACAGACTTACAAAGAAATAAAAGATTGACACTAACATAAATATATCTTCCTAAATATTAATGAAGAAGAAAACAGACAATGAAACATTATTTAACAGTTATAAGTATTAATACCAAAAGAGACTACTTATAGCTATATAACACATGGAGTACAATCACGAAAAGATAGTATTTGAAAAGAACTATTATATTATTACCTATACATAGAATGAGACGTATCAGAGGTAGATAAAATATGAAGTCGATAAAATAAGGATCATGGTTACTTAATACCACAAAGATTGAGTTCAATAGTATTTCATAGATTAACTATAATGAGTAATTTGTTTATATAGTTGAAGTAAAACAAACAATGGTAATAAAAGGAAGAAAACTAAGGAAGGATAATTTATATTGATTAATATTAAGTAATAGTATACATTAAGAAGGCCTTGGATATAAGAGTTCAGAGATCCAAGAGGAATTGAATTGAATGGAAAGAGTATAGTACACAATTATATTTGACCAAAGTCTATAAAGGTATGGACTAGGGAGAATAGGTTTCTGGATATGGTGATATCCAATAAATTGAATACGTTGTTTTAAGATTTCCCTGAGTTTGTTAGACACAGACTAGGAATAAGAGTTTCTGGGCAGTATGATCCCAAGTTTATTTTTGTTTATTTTATTTTAGTCAGTTGAAGTGTACTAAGGATTATGGATTGGTCAGAACATTAGGACAATCCTGCTTTTAAGATGTATTACATTAATAAGTCATCACAATGCTAATGAAGAGAGTGATGCTAATGAATTTATATTATTCTTTCCAAGTTCTTTTAGAGTAAACTATGTTTCTATTGAATTTAAAGTTTGTTACTACAAGGTGGAATTTTAGTCAAAATTATAATTATGTGAACAAAAAGAAATCTATGATAGAAAGATTTCTGGGTGAAGAATTTCTAGGACAATAAGTATTGTCAACACAATGAACATTATTTGAAGAATTATTATAGAACTTCATGGTTGATAACACATCCTTTGAATGAGACTTATAAGTAGTGTTGATATATTTCAAATTAAATACTATGATTGTAAAGTACTGATACAATCATCACTAGGTGGTATTAATGGTATAGGAATGTAATTCATGAATACAAATGACCTAAAGATTTTAAGGTTGCTAGAAACCATATGATTCATGGAAATCTAATTGGACAGGATATTATAGTAATACATGTATTAGTATTTTAGTAATATCAGGTATTGAGAATGAAAATACTATACTATATATGTGTCTGTAGGAATATGATAGTGATACACAGTTATTATTATTTAGAAAGTTATCATCTTGATTTTGTTTGCTACAAAGATATGACTGTACCTGAGCAGGTAGATCTTTCTGATTGCTTTATTGTTTATTGGATCAACATTTGTAAATATTGTATTTTATTCATTTATTATTGTTATATGTAAATATTATGTTCAAGTAGCTATGATGTAACATGGATATGGATATCAATACATAGCTGAAACAAAGGGAGTTTGAAGTAAAGTAAGCAGTATAAGGGATAGAAACTCAACCTTCCAAGAACTCTCATATAATAGAAATTTGTGACTTCATCTTGTTCTATGCTCAATGAATGTGATACAAGTGATGTATGAATGGACAGGTTAGTTACATTGTGTTATGGTTTTAAAACAAACCATAAACAGAGGGAATGTAGAATATTGCATATTCTATGTTTCTATTGATTATATATATGGATGTGTGGATTGACATAAGTAACAGATGGTATCAATAAGTCACAAGGCTTTCTTTGTCCGAGAGCTCTGGAATGTGGATGTGGGGGTTTTGTCCTTATATGGCTAGAGTTATATGCTGACGTTACTATTAGCACTTCTATATAGTAACAGAGGGACACGAGGTCGCGCTCAGTCTAGTCTTGTCTTGGCTTGGCTCTGTACAACGATGTAACTCTCCCATCAGAAGTCCAGCAATTACCATCTGCTGTTGAATGTCTATAATCCTGTAACATCATTTATTATGCTTTATTATGTATCCGTAACAAAGAATAAACCGGAAGAAACCGTAAGTCAGATTGCGTATTACTACTTTTCAATAATATAGACATATATTATTGTGGCGAGCATTTGGCCCAAGATTATATATACAAAAGACGTATATATATCAATCAACTGAAGATAAGAAGAAATTAAGAATCATCAACATTGAACATCCATTCATCTAGTTTTTTTACAGACTGTAAACTGAAACGAGAGAAAAACAGAATCGAACAGGTTGATTATCCAATGAAATGTATTCTGAATAAACATGTAGGTACCCAATGTAGCAACCAAAAGTACCTTAATATTAATTCCGGGAGCTATCCGAGCAATCCTAAATGGACTTTCCAACTGCGATAAGCATCCCAAATATGGAAAAAACACCATGCGCTGATAGATCCATTGTACGTGGGGTAGTGACCTGTTTCCTACCAGCCGGTCCATGAGCTGCCAAGCTGACCTATTAGCCATTTTTTCCTATAGTTGTAAAATGTCGAAGGTCATTTGTGCCACCATGTCTCAACTCTTGATGTGGAAGGTGGCTCCTCCGATCGTGCCAGGGTCACCCAGCGATGTGGCCTTGCAGGTACATCTCCAATCTCAAGGAATGCGCCTAAGTCTACCACCAATTCCGTAACAGAACCGAGTAGGATCTTTCGTTCCCTCATGGCCTACCCGGTGAGATGTCTCTATCCGAGAATACATTTATTATGCAGGCAAGAGTGTGGTCAAACTAGCCGTATCCTAAGTGATTCCAGTATTCCAAATGGACTGTGTAATCCTTGGCTGCGGTAGAGAAAGGACTCCAAAAAGAGCGTCCAATCAGGGTCCCAAACTGAACTTGTGTGGTGGAACGGTGGTCCCGGATATTCAAAGGTATGGAAAACATAAACCGGAGTTGAGATTTCCATCCAGATGTCATCATCTAAGAGTGATAAGATGTACGGATCCAATGGTGATTGGGACCTGTATAACAACGTCCTCAGGTGCTATAGTGAGAGAGTGAAAGAGTCCGATTACCCGTCGTACGATCTTGTTCCCTGCCCGACCTTTCAAAATTCATGTAGGGGTTCCTGGTCTACACGCCACCTACCT